AGTGCTAATGGAGATGCCCTTGCATCTAAATCAACTCCAGAAAAGCTTAAGTGTCGGCGGAGGAAGACCCGAAGTAAAAAATGACACCTTTAAAATAAATCTGACTACAGCCCATGCAGCCACACTTAACTGAAGTCTGATTGTTTTTTCTCAAAAAAAAAGGTATATTTAAGAACATTTACTCAGGTACTGTATGTTACATTTTGAGGTACTGTACTTGAGCTTTTATATTTTAAACTCCTTCTTAATTCTACTCTACTACAATATTGTACCTTTACTCAACTACATTTATTTTACAACTTTAGTAACCAGTTTCTCTAGAGATTCAGATTATAAGATTCAGCAAAATCCAAATAAACCAATAAATAATGTATTATAATACAACAAAAAGTAATTTGAGTTTCACTTTAGCTGTGATGAACACATTAATGCATCAACAAGTCATAATCCAGTCATTTAATATAAATCATTCTGAAATGGGGAGATATGTAGTGTTCACTTTTGGTATAGTAGGTACATTTTGATCCCTATTACTGTACTTTAAAGTATGGTTTTATATGCAGGACCTTTACTTGAGTATTTTAAAGTAAACAAATCTATAAAAGTACTTCTCCCCCCGCTGATCTTACTGGTTCTCTCCTTTCTGCATTTCTGTTCGTACGCCGTGCATTAAAGCTTTTAATCAGACCTCTGCCTTACATGTCAGCAGCCATACTTCCTGCGGACACCCCTCCATAACGGCTGGTTTGTTTCCATCATCCGCAGCTCCTGCAGGTTGCTAATGAGCCGCCGCATGTGAGCGGAGCCGCACACTGCTGCCTTTTAGCCCCCGCTCTGTTTGGCCTTCTCCCTGCCAGTCAGGAGTCATTTCCCATGAAGGCCTCCACTCGCCTGCATGCTGCGTCTATAATCTGTCCGTAGTGATCAGCAGTTGTCCAGCCTCTCAACCCGCTCTCGCCCCCTTCAGCCATGTCAAGACCCCGCTGTCATCCCCAATGTTTACCGAGCTTCTGAACCCCCGACTCCAGAGTGAGACGGTGTCAAACAGTGCTCAAACCCCTCCACGCTGCCAGCGATTGCTCCACTCGTGCGGTAATCTGCCCGTTTACCTAAGACGGAGTTTTCGGAGAGGAAAACTAAACATGTTTAAAGCAATTCATGTGATTAGTGCTGTCTAAACTGTTTTCATAGATAATATCAAAGGTAAAATCAATCCTGTGTCAGAAGCCTCGGCCAGCACAGCTCCATGTTTATACCACTTTAACTCATGGGCTCATTTCTCTCTAAACAGTTTATTTTTGGGGGGAATCTCCTCGTGGACGAGACAGAGAACCTATTGACGTTTATGCTTTTTTAGAGGTTTTTATCAGCATTTTATTTTAACTTTGGTTAATAATCTAGTTTTCAGCATTACTATCATTAATTTTAATACACATATTGTAATATACAAATGTTTAAATATTTATTAGTGTGGTATAGTATAGTGCAATTTGTACATTTTTACTTCTCTATGCTAATATTGCATTTTTATTTGATTTAATAAAAACATTTCTGAATTTGACAACTGTTACAAAATCTAATTTCTAAATAAAGTACCCTGATTTTGAGTCTGATTCTTGTTGGATAAAACGCTCATCGAATAACAAAAAATGAGACTACAAACTGCTAAAACCAGAACTGTTAAAACACTTGTCTTCAATAACAGGAGGAATACTGGATTTGACTGCACAGCACTGCATGGACAAAATATCCAAACCTAAATAGGTTTTTGACATTCCATTTACTACGAGAAAGAAGCCATTTTTCAGATCGAATTGGCTTTGCTAAAACATCTCTGTTGCATAAAATTCCTCATGCAGGGTTCTGGGTAACGTCAATGCCTCGGGGTGGCAGAGGCTGTTGGTTTCCCAGCAGGCAGCGAAAACTCCTTCAAAGCCGCTTCCCGAGTAATAACACGCTCTACACGATTAACACGCTTTCCTCCACGGACCCGTTACTATAACTCAGCTTCAAATTAGTATTTCGGAAAAGAAAGCAATGAAAGAGTGATTATTCCCTTAAAACATAAATACACACATTTGGCACGTCAATAATAGTCTTGTTTGTTTTCCAAACTCAAATGCTCGGCGCCGTGTTTCAGCAGTCAGCGTGGAAGTCTGTCAGTCTGTCAGGACTGCTACGGCAGTGTGGATGTTCCTCAGATTTTTATTAAACTTTCCCACCCTCGCTGCGTCTCTCGTTTCCATCTGAAACCTTTGATTGGCATGACTAAAGAGTAATATGTTTCCGCTGTACGACGCTGTGTGATGAGAACTCTTTAAGACATTTTCCATGTTTGTATGCCGAAGCCTGGACCAAATGAGTGTGTGGATGAGTCCAGGGTAAATATTTGATTGTCTTTATTGTGACTCAAGGGCTTTTCTACATTTCTCTTCTCAGTAAAAGCCTCACCACACTGTACACAAGTCTAAAAAAAAGTATTGTGTAACCCAAACCCTAACTCTCCTTTCAATTTCAGATCAAAATGCATGTCTGTAGTACCACTAAGTATCAATACACGTAAATGTCTTTATTCATATCATTTCATTTCCCATTTTAGACTGTGTTAAATACATTTGTTCCCTCATCTTATATGCAGGATGATCGTTTTACTGATACTGATGCTATTTACAGAAGATTGGCCCATGAATTTTGGCAATTTATTGGCAAAACAATAACCCACCTGGACAAAGTAATTCAATTTCAGACATGTTTATCTCTCTGAGCGTTAATAAGCTCACATCCTATATCCTGGTGCACATACACTTGCCTACTTTCAAGCTTACTGTAGTTTTAAAAAAAAATAATCGGACTGTTTGAAAAAAGGCACCTGTCAGATCTTGTTGTAATATTACTCAAAAGTTTTTAAAAGCTTGAGGAGCTGTGTGTTGTGAAGCCATAATGGTGCAGATTAAGACTCTGTTCCTGCGACAGACACGCGCCGCACACCCACAGATCAGCTGGTCACCCAACACGGCTCCACCATGACTGGCTTAGGTTTCTCCTGTATTAAATGGAGCCTCAGTGAATAGAAGGCTCTGCCGGAGCTGTGTGAGTGAATGAAGGAGACCAGGGATGAGCATTGAGCCCAGATGAAGCTGAAGGCCGATCAGAAGAATGGTGTCACTCTCTCCTTAGCCGTAACCCGACCTGTCACTGAAGGTCAGGCAACAATAGACAGTGGAGACCGCAGCAGCAACAGTTTGTCAATGATGGTGCATTTTCACTGCGGTCAGCAAAGCCCTTTTTCCAAGAAATTGGTTTTAGGGAAATTTAAGAGGAAGCTGTCATTTCAGGATTTAGTCAAGGGACAATTTAGGAGTTGAGAGTAGTAGGAGTAGTTTCTTTCAGACAAAGTCTTCCTGGCTCGCGGTTGCTCCATGATTTCAACCTCATGTTCAGGTGCTCGACATAGAATGAACTCAATCGGTTGCCGGTGTCATTTGTCTAACATACAGCACGCAGCCATTCAGATGAGCCAGGCTTTTTTTTAGGCTATAACATCTGACACAGCAAGTCAAAGATGTGTCATCTATTTTCTTGTTGTATTGTGTTTCTTATTTCTTAAATTAGAAAGTTTCTTCAATATCATCTTTTATTTCTCGTGTAACTTGAACTTGTTATTCTTTAAGTCACTGAGAAGTGAGAGAAAAGTGTTTATTGTGCAAGTTTGACATCATTAATTGTTTATTTGACTTATTTCAGTTATGACTTTTTCAATTATATAAACTCCCTTATGCTATACACACTCTGGAGTAGATCCTGAAATAAGCCCCTACTGAATCGATTTTGAATCCAATCATAAGACACTAAAAGGGTGTGGCAAAATATTGTATAAAGGCAGAATGGTTTTTAGTATTTCTCAATTCTTGGTGACTATAAAAATTACAAGTTCAAGCTATAAAAATAATATAATAAAAACATGTAATATAAATATTTTTTGTGCAATATTTCAACAAAATAACAAAAATCCTCTTTTGTGCAATCCTGTATAAAATAATGCATCTGAAATCTTTATAGGGTGAAAAGCAAGTGGCTGTGCAGAAGAAGGATGCTAACATGAGCTCTTCATTTGCTCCTATTGTGCCCTGTGACAGTCTCTGTGTAATGAATGATGTCCAGCTGCTCCTGAAAACATTAATGAGATTAACCTCAGGTAGATATATGTGACGCTGAGCTATGCTTCCCATACCAGTTTCCCATATGTACGATGTGACTCTTTACCCAGCAGTCCCTGTAGGGGGTCTTGACATGATCCGCCTCATCAACCAATCAGCCGTGTTTTCTGCTTAAGAGCAGGAGTGGACATGCGAGACGCCTCATGAATCATTCACTTGTTAACAAATCTGTGGTGTTCATTGGCTGAGTGGTTCGGATCAAATGGGCCAAACTGGGTCTGATACGAGCCTGTTCACAGTCACTGTCACTTGTCAGTCCGAGGCACTATACACAGCCGAACACTTATCTCATGCTATGCATTACAGCCCATTAAGCGCCGCTGTACAGCACACTCCAGTTTCTCCCTGCAATTTAGACGCAGCCTTGAGGCAGGTGCACTGTCACGCACGCTTCTGTCTTTCAAGTGGACCTGGTTCTCAACAAAGGACCCTGGATTGGCCGCGTAATTCAAGAGGGATGGAAACAAAAAAGCTTGCGATTCTACCTCCCATGTTCTTAAGCATCTCTCGCTTTTCCATAGCTGGTTTATATGTGGTGTAAAGGGACTGAGGGAGGAGTGGGAAAGCTTCCTTCTGACTCACAGACTTGTACATATACAGAGCCCACATTTTACCAGAAAATGCACTGATTGATTTCTTTTTCTCTGTGTGCATACGTGTGGGCGTTTGTTTGTTTGTTTACTTGTGTGGTTCTGAGCATACATGTCTCACTGTGGTTGTGTGTGTTTGTTTTATGTTTGCATTCCTGTGTCATGTTAACGTGCTGTCTCCCCTCCTCCACAGTTCGAGAGCTGTAACAAAGCGTTTTCACGTCTGGAGAACCTGAAGATCCACCTGAGGAGCCACACAGGAGAGAAGCCGTACCTGTGCCAGCACCCCGGCTGCCAGAAAGCTTTCAGCAACTCCAGCGACCGCGCCAAGCATCAGCGCACTCACCTGGACACGGTCAGAAACCCTCAAGTCTCCCAATGTTTCACCAGAGTGCTTAACCTGGCTCTGCTGCAAATAGTGTGGGTGGTCGCTTAAGTCAAGGAAACACAGCAGCATGACATTTTGGACTCTAAATATTTAAACATGTTGAATAAAAGATTTAGTTTCTACCAAATCTATTTAGGGATTGGATTATGTGCAAAATTCAAATGTGAGGTATTCATAAATCTATCAACGGATTTCCATTAAGTCAATGTGTGTGTCTGCTCATGCCATAATTGCTCCAAGTTGAATATTAAAAACCACACTTCTCTCAAAGACTTAATGCCTATTCCCACATCTTGACAGTGAAAAGCTTTAATTAGCTGTCAGTCAGTGAGATGTTTGACACTCTCTATGCTGGCACTTCAGATCATTAAATGATCAGTTCCTTTAGGCCAAGTCGCTAACAGACTTGGATTGGAGCTGAGTTCTGTAAACACAGCTTCGCCTGTTTCTCTGACCGGTTTAAAGGAAGGGAAATATTGAGTCACCCATCGCTGCCACTCGTCATGTCTCAGTTACCCACCAATACCTCACTTTATCACCAATACCTCACTTTATCACCAATACCTCACTTTATCACCAAAACCTCACTTTATAACCATCCGCAGGCAAACACAGTTTAGGAATAAATGGCTTATTTTGCTCAAATAACGTACATTAGTATTCATTCCCACAATTCAGACAACTTCACAGTAATTTCTACTGTAAGCATTTAGTTTTTCATTTTTGATCACTCATTCAAAACAATGCACATAGCAGATGTTCTATGGAGCAATATAAAGTCAAATTAATTCACTATTATTAGGGCACCCAACGTTAAAAAGATTCTCTGAGACACAACCTCCTTTACCTATAACCCCAAAAATAAGATCCCATTTATATAGTTCAGAGCCTAAACAAACCTCCTAACAACTCTTCAATGCAGACTAAATATAAATGGCAAATTCTTCAAAGGATAATTAACAATATGAAGAAAAATGTGTTCCTCAAAAAACGTTTTTTAGAGCCTTATGAATTGTTGCAGGTTACTATTGTACCGCAACATTCAATTTCTTGTAAAGGGGTTTTCTTTTTAACGTGATTGTAAAAATAGGTTTCCCTTTATTTTCACTGAGGTCAGAGAGGTAGATTCAGACTATATGACCGAGTACTAAAAAAGCCAGATAGAATAAATATCAGTTTAAATCAATAAAACACTAATTCACCAGCTTCTGCAACGCTCTCAATGATATAGATTCCCATTTTAACGGTATTTTTATATTATTTACATTTCCAGAATATTCTCCCCCTGTGTTTTCCCGTATTGGCCAGACCCCGATGCTTTCAGTACGTAATAGTAAATCACTCAGAACCTTTACATAAGCAGACTTTTGTTTTTCTATCAGTCCAGGATTTTCTTCCAGCGCCCGATCTCTCCGCAGTGTGATATAAATGATACAGCTAATCTGGGACCCTGATGCTTATGGCTTCACATTAACGCCCCGCTGAGGCCCTCACTGTGCCAGCGGCCGGCCCTGCCAGAAACACTTTGCAGGGAAATCATTTTAAAGCTTTAATGGTATTTTTTCGTCACAGAAGTTGTGCTTGTATTTTCTTTTTTCCTACTCAAGGTTCTACGCTGTTTTGTTGCTTGACAAAACAAACATGGCGGAGATGAGTGGCACTATAACGCCTTGCAATAACAACGGCTTATTTACAGAGAAGGTCGAGGAATGGCGGCCGAGCTAATAAAGCTGCGTATCCGCTTACACTTTAATGGCCAACGTATATTCCTGACGATGAAGAGAGAAATTGCTGTGAGGGGAAAATCCCTCAATCAGCGAGCTACATGCTGTATTCGCTTGGTTAATGGGAAGAATGTGAAATGATGAGGAAACTCCATGACAATTAAGTAATTCTACAGATGCCTGTTAGCCTAATCTGCCGACATTTCCCTCCTGACACCCTGTCTGTATGTCAGTATGCACACTTACATACAGTACATAATGAAGGTATAAAATAACAAGACCAATCCTTATTTGGTTCATCATTTTAGAACATTTCCAATCACAGTATTAAAGGTCCCATGTCATGCTTTTCTGGTTATTACCCGCCCCCTTGTGTGTTATGTAGCTTTTTCTGCATGTAAACGGTCTGCAGAGTCACAACCCCTCAAAGTACACCCTGTAGCGAGTAAAACTCTAACACAGAAAAGACCTGTCTATGCTGCCCCAGAACGCCTCGTTGGAGATTTCTCTTTTTCTTCCTGGATACAGTGACCTATTTGGGTATAGTGACGTAACGTAAGGTCCGCGGAGCCGTTAACGTTTGGACCAATCCGCGGCCTTCCTCACACACACACACACTCGGCGGGACTTTGCGAGGCTTGCTGCTGCGAGGAGCGGGACACTGTGAGCTGGCTCACCGGTGTGGGGTCGAAACTCCCAGCCAGGCCGCGGGTGTGTGTGTGTGTTTCGGGCTGGGTTTCGCTATCTCGCAGACGGCCACTGGGCTCACAGGGAGGGGGGGGGCAGGAGCTCCAACAAGCCGTTTAGGACAGAGAGTGAATACACATACTATACAGAGATGCTGTATGAGAATCCAATGTGAGTTTGGAAAATTGCACAATATAAATATATTCTAGTAGACCTTAACAATGGAATTATGATCAGTGGAAATGGCCATGACATGGGACCTTTAAAGTATGACATAATGTAGTGTTTTACTTTTTTTACGATGACTAGCGAGGTCAAATGACTGTTTCTCTCATCAAAGTTCAGGGCCTTAGAGGAGAGCGTTAATAAATGATAATGATTGATTTTATTGTATTATGACTTGAACATGTCAGCTAGCATCGGCCATATAACCTAAAATGTATTTAATTTGTACTGCCTGGACATCCAGCAATAAGTATGTTTTTTAGACAGCTCTGCAAAATGTCTCTTGCCTCTTTACATCACGTATGTGCAGTATTAGTTACTGGAGCAAAGCACAGGTTCTCCTCACATCAGGCTAACATCTGGTCTTAGCTGCTCTGCTGTAATTGTTTTGGGGATTCTTCAAAGTTTGAATTTGTTCTCATCAGCAATACTGTAGGCTACAACTAATGTTGGGTGAAGTGTAAATCATAGATATTTAAGCAAGTGCAGGATCACAGCCTTTCTGCCAACTTTGATGATTTTAACTCAAACGATATCTGATGAAATATTAAATAAAGCTTGTAATTCAATATGTTCAGATTTTACTCATGAACCATGGGATGTTTTACACATTCCTGAGACATGAGCATGCAGTATAAGCAAAAGGACTGAATACGATTTGATTTGTGGACCGTCCTTGGTTTTGAGGTGCAGTCAGCCAAACCTGGCTATAAACAGACTTCATTCCACATCACAGAAACATGTGTCCTGACCTTTCCTCTGAGGCCTTTCATTTATTTTCTAATACAGTTCCCCTTGTGAGTTACTCTGTTCTCATAGTCATGGAAAAGGTCAAAGCAAGCACTCATGTCTGGTGTCTGCCTGCTGAATTAGCTGCGTCACCTTTAATTTGTCCAGAATCAAACCGCCCCACTCTGACGGCTCTCATTTGATTGAAGCATGTTCAGTATTCATGTGGTTTTATGTGTAGTGATTGTGCTGCATATATGAATAAAACAAAAATATCTTAACTCATATTTACAGGGGTCTTTCTTAAAGAGGCCCTATTATGCTTTTGGGGGTTTTCCCTTTCCTGTAGTGTGTTATATAGTTTTGTGTGCATGTAAAATGGCTGCAAAGGCTAAAATCTGAAAGTTCCCTCTCTCCCACACACTTCCCCTTGCCTGAAATGTCTACTTTGTACTCCTTTGTTTACTTCTGTTAAGCCCACGTCACACTGTCCCAAAATTGACACCAGATGGACACACGACAAAGGAAATGTTCAAATTCGGCTCTGATCGTAACAACATCGGGCCATTCGTGAGGGCATCTTAAGCCATCGTATGACCGCCAGTGGAGTTTCTCAGGCTCCGGCAGCAACTTCGTGAGCGGTGGCAAAATCTTTGGCATGCCAAAAAATTGCCAAAATACCTTACGAAGGTTCATTTTCGTGTTGAATTAGTGTGTCCATTTTGCCTTTCGTAAGGCCATCGTGAGGGCATCTTGTCAAATCGTGTCGTTTACTTCGTGTGATCATCGTGCCATCGGGCATTTTTCGCCTCACGAAGACAATACGAAGGAAACAAGAAGCTGCCCGATTGTCTTAGGAAGGCAACACGACTACGTGAAGCCCTCACAATGTCGTTGTGTAGTCATCGTATTAAAGTACAATGACATCGAGATGGGACCACGGTATCGGCAAAAACAGCAAAATTTGAGTAGCTCAAGCGTTTCCCATGTGTCATGGTAACGTGGACATATAAAAGGCCAGCCTCAGAGCATCTTCCTCAGTCAGTCCTGAGCAACTCTACAGAGCAGAGGCGTGTGTAACTCCCAAAGCTTCAATCACAATTAATCACAAATGCTCTATTGAAGTCAATAGCAGTGATGATACCTGTATTAAGCAGGTGAAACAGGAGCATGAGATGTGCTACGTTTCCTTGCAGATCGCTTCTCTGGTTGTTTTATTGCACAACAAAATCATGTAAACATATTATGTAAATAACCCAATTTGTGTTCTGTGAACCTGAAAAGGATATTACATTGTTTTTGTTACTTTCGTTGCAGTTGTATGTCTTAAATGTAATTTATGTTAAAGGTGGGGTATGTAATTTTGGAGAAACCAGCTCGAGTGTGCTAGAATTTGAAAGTACACAACAGGAAAAAATCTGCCTCTTCCTTCAAACTTCCTTACAGAGCCCCTCCTCCAACACACATGAATGCGCACATGACCAATGAGGACACAAGATAAGTTTGTGCACAGATGGAAGGCTGATAGGCAGGTAGGCCATCCAGTTATTTTAGCCGGGCCGGCTACAATGACTGGTCGTGCTTTTTACAGCGCCACAGCTTCCACAGATGGCATTTTTTAAATGTATTTATTGTCAAAGCATTTAATATATTCATTGCTATCGGGATGTTAAGAGCATTCCA